ATGGTTACTGGGCAGGGGAGAGGGGTGAGAAGGGATAAATTGGGAGTTTGAGATTTGTAGATACTAACTACTCTATATAAAATAGATAAACAAGTTTCTTCTGTATAGCATGGACAACTGTATTAAATATCTTGTAGTAACCTATAATGAAAAAAATATGAAAACGAATGTATGTATGTATGTGTATGACTGAAACATTATGCCATATACCAGAAATTAGCACAACATGGTAAACTGACTATACTTCAATTAAAAAAAATAAGACATTTGAACCAATTGAAAAAAAATAGAGTTTGCCTGTTTGTCAGCTTTTATTTGAGCTGCTGAAAACACCCTTTCTCCTGAAAAATGCTCGAGAATGCAAGTACGGAGTGACACATTCTCCCAGTATCATGAGGAATATGGTTAATGGGAAATGACTTCAGTTTACTGCATCTGCTAGTAATCCTGTGATGCCATCGCAAAACAAAAAGCACATGACTACTCGTAAGCCCACGGTACCTGAAAGAGAAATTGGATTTGACTCAGAAAATCAGGCAGTACAGCTAATCGCTCTGATCCAATAATGAGGCCCTGCAGAATGGCGTCATCAGCCCTGGGACACAGAGTGGAGGAGGGAGGGCAAGAGGGAGAGGGAGCACTGGGGAGGCAGCTGCCCAGCCCTCCAGACAGTGAAGCCAATGAAAAATTCATAAGGAGATGTTTTATAGCCAATGTCTAATACCACTGCTGGGTCACAAGCTGATCCAAGCCAATCAATAGTATTCATCATCCTGAAAGGAACTAGTGATTGCATGTTTATGAGAACTGGGAGGTTTTCCAAGCCAAGGCCAGTTTCTGGTTACTTGGTATGTGTCACCCTTAAAAATATAGAACTTATTTTGAAAATGGAACTCAAGACCTTTTAAAAAAATTATACAGAGTGGAGGAGGAGAGGTACTTTTCAAATCTGGGTCGGGGGAAGTGTTTGAATTCTTTTTTAAGTCAACCCCAGGGCTAGTTTTTAAATTGAAGCTACTTTTTTGTTTCAAACTTTGGTGGCTTTTTGGTATATGATTTCTTTTTACTTAGCTCTAGAATTTTAAAAATAACACTGTAGAGTATGTGTCAAACTCCTCCAAATACAAATGGAAATATATGAGAATGAAATCATGAAAAAAAAAGAAAGTTGAGTCAACTTTATCATCACTAAGTTCCAGGTTGGTTTGATTTTAAAAAGCTTTTAAAGATGATAGAAACTTCAACTTGAGTTTGAGGGTGTGCTTTTTACTTAGGCAGTGATTTAAAGGCAGAGGGAGGTGAGAGAGACAGCAAGATGAGTCTTAAGGGTTATGTGCTCAAAAGTCTGCTGAGGATTTCAGGGGAAACCACATCGCAATCTGGTTGTACGGAAAAAGCTCTGAGTAAACCAGGGCTTCCAGGCGTGGCTAAATTAGAGCCCTCCCTGAGGTCTTCAAAGCAGAGCCCGTTGGATGCCACTCTCACAAAAATTGATTTTGAACAAGTGAATTAAACATCAAGAGCTCACAAATAAAAAGTCTTGGAAAATCAACTCGAAGTAGGAGGGCAGGAGAGGAAGAGGGTCAGAATAGGGTAAGGAGTTTCACTCTCTCCCTGGTGATGGTGTCAGGAAAGAAGCTGTGCCCTTGCATCTGGGTGAACACATTAAATTTCTTTCAGTGGCTGTGAATGTAAAACAAGATCATTGTGTTTGAAAAATACAGAAAGGAAAGTAAAAAATAAGAAAATTAAGCCCGTCGTCCTCCTGTCCCGAGAAGTCTGCTTAACAAGACGGAGTATGTTCTTCCAGGCTGTTATATCTCTCTCTATAGATGCAGATATAGATCTACTACATGGCAATCTTACTGTAAATAGTTTTGTATCCTGAGTCTTCAGTGCATATTTATTTTGTAATCGTGTTCGCATGTCAGAATACTCAGATGTGATATTTCATTGTCCAGTTAGAAGTCTGTTAAAAGTATGTGCTCTTGTGTGCCTTTCCTCGGTTGACAGATGGGCCATGCGTTTCCAAGCCCCAAGAGTTAGTTCATGCAGGCGTAGACCCGCCCACCTCTGTGCACTGAGCCCTTACTTGACTGTTTAGTTCCAATGCCACCTACACTGAAGCCTGCCCCTCCCCCACTTACAATTAATCCCCCCCAGGAAGCAGAGCGGTAGAGTTGGGGGAGTTTGGGCTGTGGGCACTGCCAACCTAGGCTCCATGCCTGGGGCAGCACTTACCAGTTGTATGACCTTGGGAAGCTTCTTAACTAAGCTTCAGACTCCTCACCTGTAAAATGGGGATAATTTTATAGAATGTTCTTATAATGATCGAGTAAAAGAATGTATGTCTTAGTTTCCTCCCCTCTGCCCTTTTTTGGGTTTTCTGGCTTCTTCCAAGAGCAGCTACAGAGTAGTGTTTAAAAGCTTAAGCAAGCAACCTAGGGTTTCTACGCTTCAATTTCTCCATCTGTGTTTTGGGGATAATGGTACCCATCTCTGCATTCACAGGTTTTTAGGGAGGATTAAATCAGATGATCGACATAAGGCACTTGGTGCTCGCACAAGTAAGAGCACAGTAAATGTTGGTTCTTCTCTTATAATCTTACAGGACGTTTCATGGATGTCAGTTCATCATTTCCACCAGAGTGTGAGCTCTTCTGTGGCATCACAGTGGACGGTAGGTTCCCCCTGTTGGCTGCCTCTTGGAGTCACTGTCTGGTGAGCCTCCAGGCAACCCCACGCCCAGGGCTGGGCCCTGCCTCGCTACAGCTACACCGTGCTGAGGGCTCTGGCCCTGGACTTCCCCAGCAATCCCTGCATGAGAGATACTGGATCGGAGGAGCCCTTTGCAGTGAGTGGCTTAAGCGAGGGAGCCACCTTAACCCCAGCTCAGCATCCAGGTTTCAGGCCAAAGGGAAGAAAGTTTGGCTATGAGACAGCATCCTGAGAATTGACTGAATCAGTTCTCAGAAAGAGGCCCTGAGGGAGAGATAACCTCAGGGAAAGGCCGTAGCGACCTCGTCCCCATCTTGGGCCTTTCTTGCAGGAGACAGGGTCCCAGTAAGAGGATAGGATTCGTGCAGCAATCGGTGTGGTGGCAGTCTTGGAGGGTGCCTGCCCCCAGCCCCCATGCTGTACTCTAGCAGGGGTCCTGAGAGTGGGGTCCTTGGACCAGCAGCAGCAGCAGCATCACCTGGGCGCACACTAGAAATTCAGATTCTCGGTCCCACCCTAGACCTGCTCAGTCAGAAACTTCAGTGTTTTCAGTGCACATGGTCCTGACACACTCTCAAGTCTGAGAACCACTGCCCTCAGGGAACTGTCAGGGAGAGGAGAGGAAGTCCAGATAAATTCCTCTTTCCCTGCCCTCTCTGAGGACTGGCCAAGTTCCTGCCCAACATTCTTGTCTCCATTTTTTTGTTTACTTGAGCTAATTTCAGCAGATTTCTGAACTAAAGAGTTCTGAGTAATAAATTAGGGGTCACTCAAAGAAAACTGTAAAAGAAGTGAAGCTTGGGGTGCCCATGTGCCTGCTTCAACATCTCCCTCTTTGCGTACCCTCATCAGGAAGCCTGGCAGTGACTAGTGACCCCCTGTCCCTCCTTCCTGGACAGAGAGATGGACCATGCCAAAATGGTTTGTCCTCAGAATTCAGCCCCAGGAAAAAGTCATACATGGGCATAAATACAGACGTACAAAGATGTTCACTTCAGTGTTATTTACATAGGGCAGAACAGAAGAGGAGAGCAACCCAAACAGCCAAGAGTATAGATCAAATAAATTATGGCACACCCATATAATGGAATATTATGCAACTGCTGAAAATGATGTTTCATAAAACACTTGGTGTCAAGGGTGAAATGGTATCAAATAATATAAAGTGATCAAAGATGGATACAAAATAGTATGTCCAGAATAAACCTACATATGTATGCAGGAAAAAACTAGAAGTAAATACACAAAATGTTAATAGAGGTTATCTCTGTAATGGTATCATAAAGTGTTTTTATTTTTTTCTTTATACTTTTGGATATTTTCCAATTTTCCACAAATAGAAAAAATGCAATGACATTATGTGAACTGGGTTGATCATTTTACCCCTCCCCCGACCACCTTATTTTTTGGGGGTAGGAGGAGGTAATTAGGTTTGTTTATTTATTTATTTTAATGAAGGTACTGGGGATTGAACCCAGGACCTTGTGCATACTAAGCATGCACTTTACCACTGAGCTATACCCTCCCTGCTGACCACCTTATTTTGATGACAGCAGTGACTAGCTGGGTTGTCACAGCTGGAGCAGGCTCAGAGGAGACCATGCCAGGCCCAGACTGCAAACAGATCTGGCAGAAAAGGAAAAGAAACAAGGCCAGACTGGGCCATTAATGCACAGGGGAAATGGAGAGGGGCCAAGCAGGGCCACTGGGGCTGGTCCGAGCTGACCACAGGCAGCTCTGCCGTGGAGCCCAGCAAGCTCTGGCAGCCAGTGATCCTTGGAGGTCAGCAGGCCCAGCTGTGGGCAGATTCAGGACACCAGAAAATAACACCACAGCCCAGCACAGTGCCTGGCATTTGGGGATACTCAACAAATACTTGTTGAGTGGAGGAATAAATGAAGCGTCATCACGGTCTCTGGTGATAAAGACCCTTCACCAGAGGATGCCCTCAGGGTCAGGGGTCTGGGCACAGACAGGCTTGCAGGGAAAGGGGCCTGGGAGAGAGAGAGCTCAGCTGTGTCCAGAGAAATTGTGCCAAACGGGGGAAAGCAGGAGCCTTAGAATCCAGCCCAGGTTTGAATGCCACCTCTACCACTAAGCAACAGGGTAGTCCAGGGCAGTTTACCTAACCTCTCTGGCCTCCTTTCTTCCCTCACTACCTGGGTATATCTCTCCCCACCTTGAAAGGCTGTTTTCCGATGTTTCCATGAAATAATGGAAGGCACGTGAAGGACAGTTACAGGTCTGCTCCCGCGGCTCAGTGGCAGCCTGAGAGCAGGTAAAGACAGAGCTGTACTGTGCTCCGGGCCAGCACCAGTTTGGCAAGGTGGGGCATGCTGCCGCTCGCCCAGGAACCTGGGCAGGTTGCTGGCACCAGGCACTGGCTCTCGCTGGCAACGGAGGCTGCAGCCTCTGCACTGCCTGGCTCAGAGGCTGGCCAGGTCCAAGCCTGGAGTTGGATCCAGCAATGAGCTAGGGAAGCAGGGAAGCTGGGAAGTGAAGAGGGGGCTGGCTACAGAGGCCAAAAGGAGAAGAAACAAGGATAAGGTGAGGGTGTGGGCACCCAACAGATTCCTCGGACAGAAGATACAGATTTGGTTTTCTCTGTCTCGAGGGCAGGTTTGGAATCTCACTTCCTTGAGGTGACTTGTCTCCACAAGGAGTTCGTACAGCTCTTTGCTGGGTGTGTTCCCAGACCACTCAGACCTCCTCGTAGGCACACGCTGTTTTCGTAATGGCTTCCTAATGTCATAACACTGACCTGGGGCAGGTCATCTTCAGAGATGAGAAGTGCTACCCCTGTACACACATTCCTTCTTCTCACACCCACTGGTTCTTCTTCCTGGAGCCTTCTTGTTGCCAAGTCCTGCCCTCACGTCTCTGATTTATCCTTACTTGGAGAGCGCATCATATGCTTGTTACCTGGCTAATCCACTGACCCTGTCATTGCCACCTGTATCTTGGGCAAGATTTGCTAGCACAGCACTTCCCACTCTCATGGCTGCCTCTGACATAGTCACCTCTGTCAGCCTGCACCAGACCGTGAGCTTCCTTGGCACAAGGGTTGTCTTACTCGCCTCCTGCCCTTGGCAGATTCCAGTACAGTGCCTGTCATTGTACAGACAGCGCTCGGCATTGCTGGGTGAAATAAAGAGGCAGGGGCGGGGGTGTGTAGCAGACACTGTGGATTGACCACCCAAAAGCCTTTTGAGACCTTTCCCCCTTCTTCTACCCTGGGGTTGGTAACAAAGTTCATACTTAACTTTCCCAGCTACCCTTACAGCTAGATGTGGGCGTGTAAAACAGTTGTAGCCAATGAGATGTAAGTGCAAATCTTCAAGGAAAGCTTTCTTTCCAGAAGAAGAGACAAACATCTCTAAAAGAAAGCCTTTGAGCCTTTTGCCCTTCCCTTTTCTTCCTACTTGGAACGCAGATGTGATGCCTGGAGGTGCAGCAGCCATCTTGCAACCATGAAGCAACAAGCAACAGTCAGAATGGCCGAGTGAAAAAGAATAAAGTACCGTGCTTCTTGATGGTGTCACTAATGACTGAGATTGCTAGGCTCACCAACCTCCTGGCTTGCTTGGGACTGAAGGGTGTCCAGAGATCCAGGACTTTTGATGCTAAAACAGGAACAGTCCTGGGCAAATCTGGACATTGGTCACCCTATCCTAGCCCTGGACTGCTTATTTCCAGAGACTTCTTATTATATAGTGAGAAAAATAAACCTGTTTGTCTCAGGCATTGTAGTCAGGTTTTTCTATTATTTGTAGTCAAAAGCATTCCTGTGGATGCACACGAAAGTTGATATTTCTAAGATTCAACAAACAGATAGGTACAGAGTTGCAGGTCATTGAGTGCTAGCTCCCTTCACAGGGATTATCTCAGTTGAGTCTCAATAATTCTTCATGGTAGGTTTTAACAGGTGAAAAAACGGAGGCTCCAGGAAATTTAGCCCAACTAGGATCCAAGTCCTGTACATTAATGCCATGCCCTTTTCACCCATAGCCACTCTGGCTCATTTTCTTTTAACTTAATATGTGATCATTTAATGTTATTTTAGGATGGGCGTTATTCTTTTCAAATGAGTGTCAAAAAATCCTGGTAATTAGACTGATTTTTCCGTCACTACTGTTAATAAATAAGAGAGAACTGGTTTGCATAGATTTAAAGAATGTTTTAAAATTGTGGAATGATTCCCAAGGTGCAAAGGGGAATGAGTAAAAAGTCTCCTTTCCACCCCTGTTGCTTTATGGGTGAATATTAGGAAGACTTCTATCAGTTTTATGTTGGTGGTTTTGAGCATGGATCATAATGAATAGTCCCTTAAATTTGTAGTCACCTTTTGAGATTACAAAATACTTTCAGAGGCACAGTCTCATTTTCTCTTTCCAGCTGGTTGGGGAAGTTTTCTTCAGACTCGCTTCATTGTCAGAGTTCTTGGCAAATCTCCACCCCCACCCCCCACCTTCCAACCCCGACCATCCCCATTCCCAGAAGCCAAGACTTCCTGCTGGGCCCCTTTCCCCTTTTGTAGGCTACCCGCCTGTGACCATGGCCACACCCTGGCTGGTGCTGAGTCTCCTGGGGCCTCTGGGTACAACCTCAGGCTCTTTATGTGTTCTCTGTATCACTCTCCTCACCAAGGACAGGCCTCTCCCATAAGATGCTCTGAAAATTCTGCTGATGGCTCGCTGACTGGCTGACCTGCTCCCACACACGTGTAGCCTGTGAAGTACCCTGTTCAGTCAGCTCATCTGACTCAGTTTCTCTGTCAGTTTGCGTATCTATTTACAGCTTGCCCCTTATTAAAAATAATGTTTATGAAGAGTCTGGGAAAACATGTTATGTGAGTTGAAAAATGTAATATATCTGTATCTATGTATATCTACATCTATACATACTATATAATTAAGACTCTCAGAACAAAGCCAACGTATAGAACAATTTCTGGAAATAACTCATTATTTCCTCCCTCTCAGCTCAACCATACCTCTTCCTCCAGATTTCCTCATCTCAGTTGGGATCCACCAGGTTTCCCAGGCCAGGTTTCTTAGCATTTTCATCCTCAACTCCTTTGTCTCCACTCCCATCACCAGCGCAGGTGGCCACCCATCAGCCCCAGTGGTCACTAAGTCCTATCCATTCTCCTCCTTAGCTTTCTTGACTCTGTCCTCTTTTCTCCATCTCTGCAGTCGCCTCCCCAGTTCAGCCCCCACCATCCCACACCTGAGTTTCTGCAACCAGGTTCCTGCCTTCTAAGTCTTGCTCTACCTCCATCCGGTCTCCATATCCCAGAAAGAAAAAAAAAATAGTCCTGCACACACCTTGCTTATGGGCCTAATTGTTCCCATTGTCCTCAGGGAACAGTTTAATTCCCTTTGTGGTCTGACTCAAGCTCACTTCTCCAGTCCCTCACTTGCCTTTCCACATGCTGCCCATCACTTGCTGGCTGTTCTGAACCCCTCACCTCCAGCCCTCACCCTCTCTCGCCTTCAGTTCTCACACAGGCTGCCCTGCATGCTGCATACCCTTCCTTGGGTTAACTCCTGCTGACCCTTCAGGTCTCAGCCTCACTGATTTTAAAGAAATAAGGTTAAGACAAAAACGTCAACCAAGTTTGCTGAATAGTGTTCCTGGGTTTTCCTCATAGTGTATATATGATACAGTCAATCCATCAATCATCCATTTATTGAAGAATCATTAATTCTGCTCAGACTTATTAGGCATGATACATCTAATGGCCCAGGGCACCACTGGTTCTAGGTATCAACCCTATGTCTCTTTCTGCAGATTCATTTGTTCAGTCAATCTGCATTTCCATCTTTCATTTGTATTTACTCAACAAATGGCCATGCAAAAAATAAACAGAAGGGAGTCTCTGTCCTCAAGGGTCATGATGGTGTGGCAGACACAGGCTTACAAACACACCAGCATGCCACATGGTCAGTACCATGAAGAGGAAGGCAGAGCACTGCAGGGGATCAGAGACAGTCTCACAGCAGAAGTGAGGTTGAACTGACAGGTGTTAACAGGTAGATGGGGCATGAGAGATAGAGGGGCAAGGAGCAGGGGAGAGAGGTTCTTTCCAGAAGAAGAAATGGCAGGTACAAAGGCTCTGAGATGCATTAAAACCTGACTGTCCCAGGACCCAGATAACATGTGTAGAATGAGCAGGGTGCTGGGAAACATGCATTCCCCACACGCCGCCTGCTGTTGGAGCCTCATCCTTCACCAGCCCTTTCTCCTTCCTCCTTCTCCAGGTCCTACCTATTCTCAACCCACCCAAGAAGGACTTCCTTCACAAAGCCTTCTTGGACTGTGAACTAAATAGATAGACACTGAATCCCATTCTGCTTTGTCATTCAAAGATTTCATAACAAGTTACAGCTTCCTACCAAACTGTAAAGTCCTTGAAGATAGGGACTATGAGTTACACTGATTCTTAAATTCCTCTGGGCATGCAGGCAAGAAACCTGGAGCTGTGCTGTGAATGTTCCTTGAAGCAACACTCCAGGCCTGGAAAGGCAGTGCTCATGTACCTGACCTCAAACAACCACTGGTGAGTCTCTCAATACATACCTTCCATCTTCATACATCATTGGCTGTGATATTGGATTGTAGGCTTGTGGTGGGGCTTTAGTAGATGCCATTAGCTTGATTTTATGGTTCTCCAAGAAGACACTAGCAATGATGTTACAAGAAACTTAAGGGGATTCCCATTAGGAGTCCCTAGCTCTAACCAACCTTTGAATTTACTGTTAATTAACTTCTCACCCACGGAAAGTAAAAAATGTTGTCATCTGTAAAGCCCTGAGCTTGTAGGTAGAAGAACCAGGTCTTGGCTCCATCTCTACCACATATCAGCCCTGTGACCTGGGACAAGTCATCTATGCACTTTTAAACCTCAGTTTCCCCCATCTTTAAAATGGGAATAATAATACTTCACAGGGTTAAAACTACTCTCAAAGGGCTATTGTAAGGATTAAATGTGCTAATGGATGCAAACTTGATTGGCAATATGTGAAGTGTCATTTAAAAATCAAAGAGCACTTTCATCTTTATTATAAACAAAAATCCTCTTCCCTCTGTATAATTCTCAACATTCAAAGTCTAGACACAAGCTCTCCACTGGGAAGGAAGTGAACTGTACTGATCGGAGGAGAGCGTCCATCACCTGACACCTAGGAGACCCCCTGGAGCCCCCTTCAGACGCTGGGATAGTCGTGTCTGCTTTACTGGGGACTGCAGCTCCTCAGAGCAGGCACGGTGCTCACCAGGTGAGCTGCCCTACCGTGCTCCGAGCCCGATGGAATGGCACCTGCTGAGGAAGCTGCCCAGCTCAGCTCTTGGAACACTGGCTCTTCCCAGGGAGAAGTCTCTATTCCAGGCTGTCCCCTTCAGAAAGAGAGTTCTGCTTAGATTTGGCAGGGAAGATATTTAAGCAACGCAAACAACAAAAGTCGCCCCAAACCAAAGACCCTAAAAGAGAAGGGAAAGAGAGACAGTCACATCTACACAGCCGGCACTGATCTAATGTATAATCAGAGGCCTGGACTCAAATACAAACTGGCTGTGTGACTTTGGGAAACTCACCCAACCTCTCTGTGCCTCTAACATTATGCCCTCTAAAATGAGCCTAGTAATGCCTATCTTTTGGTGTTATTTAAGGATTAAATTAATGTGAGTTTTATGAAATGGAAAACGCCATGTGATTATGAGTTGACTATAAACATACTTGCCTGAAGAAATCATTCAGAAACACCCAAATGAATTGTGTGTCTCTGGGCCTCAATAGGTTGTCCATTAAGGGACCTTAAATGTGATTGTAAGAACCACACCAAGGTCTGAAAAGGCATCTGCATGTGAGGGGTGTGCCATGAAAGCCAGTTGGTTTCTATGGGTAACAAAGGCCACCTCCATGTGCCTTTGTTCCCTATGCATGGCCCCCTCCCTGGAGGGGCACGGTTGCATCCCCTACCTGCACTCTGTGTTTTATGATTCCCAAGGCCCTTCCACTGCCCTGTCTCTTTGATTCTCCCAATAAACCTGTTAGGTCAGCAGAGCAGATAAACCCTCCCTTCGCCTACTTGCACTTTTTATGGATGACTTGCCTGAGGCCACAGAGCTCAAAAGGACAGTTCCTCTGCAACCTGGAACCCCCAGCTTGGAGGGTCAGCTGGGATTTGAACCCAGGTTTCTAACGACCTTGCTGCCCATAGCCCAGGCCATGAGCCCAAGCTTAACAAAAGCCCTGTGGGCTGCAGCCAGGAGGGTAAACAGACCCCATTAACACAGAATTCCCTGGCAACCCTATCTAGACCTGGGCACCTGCTTCCACCCAGAGGTTTTTATCTCCTTGAATTTGTTTCCAAGGGGACCAGCAGGTACTTGCTCTCCCTGCTTTGGTCCTTGCTCCCTGTACGTAATTGGGGAGCACCGTATTGGCCTTGTGCTGTGATGAACGGGCTTCCTCAGGCGAGCAGGCAGTGACTGAAGTGCTGGCAGCGTGTGGGCCCTCCTCTGCAGCGCCGCACTCAGATACCATTAGCCCCGTGTGTCACAATGCTTGGCAACGGTTCCGGGAGGCAGCAAGGCCTTTGTTCATGCCACCGTCCCGTCAACTGGCTACAATTTCATTTGACTGCCAGCCTGCTTGGCCTTTTGCATCATCCTGGCCTGTTCCCTCCTCCCTCAGCCAGTGGTTAGTCCATTATCCCAGATTTTTCAGGGAAGATCTAAGGTGTGCATGTAAAGTTCCTGCATCTTCCCCTAAAGCAGCTTTGGGATGATCTAGACAATGAACAAGTGCTGTGTGGTTTAGGAGGGAGGCTCCCTGGGACTTCTCCTGTTCCTGCCGGTGCACAGAAGGAAGGACCTTGTATGGCAGAGTCTGGCCCCAGTGCCCAGGCACTGGGATCTGTATAGTGGCCAGCCGGGTTGGGTGGAGGATGCAGCATGCAGTGCTTCAACGCATTCAATAGAGCACATACTATGTGCCTGGCACTGTTCTAGGCCCTGGGAATAAAGCGGTGAACAATACAGATGAAAAGCCCTGCCTTATGTGGCCTTATTAGTGTTGGTTATTGGCCACTTCTCCCACTTGACCTTCAAGGCAGAGATTGTGTGTTTTCATCTCCAAAACCTGGCAAAGTGTCTGGCATAGTGTAGATGCTCCGTAAATGTCAAAATGAACTGACAAGTAAACAGAACATAGAGATGGATGAGATACGGAGAGTGAGGACAAGAGAACGCAGACTTGAAGGAGAGACAGAACCGACGGGGACTCTTCTTCTCACAACACAGGAAGGGGTGATTAAGTTGCCTGCCCCTCATTCCTCTTTCCTCAAGGCTAAATACTTCAGTTGTCTTAACCTTTCATCTCACATCCATCTCATTTCCCAGCCCTCTAATCATCTGTGTTGTTCACATCCCTCTGCGCCTTCATCACACTTTCCAGAGGCCCCTTTTGTGTTTAATGTGATGTGTTCAGAGCAGCAGGACCGCGAGCCTGTTTCCTGAAGAGCATCAATTCCACTTAATTAGCTCAGGATTCTACAATTCCCGGAGCCTCGCCACCCCAGCCTGGTGGCTGTGGGAGCAGCCCTGCCTCTGGGCACCAGTAAATTGTTTTCACAGAGAAAGAGTGGAGAGAATTGAACTGGTGATTATGCTAATGATTTCCTTTCTGTGTCAAGCCTGCTCTGCAGGGAGGCCCAGCTTCTGGGGCTGGAGTGTGGGCAGGGCAGAGGTGGGGAATGTGGAGAGGGGACCGGGCTGGAAAGCCCGCCCTGAGGACTGAGGAGACACCTGAGGGACTTGGCATCTTGGCGGAGTTAGTGCGTTCCGCCGTGACAGGGGCAGGCTGGGGGTCCAGGGCCTTCGCCAGTTCTCGGCTCTCACATCCACAGCAGTCCTGTGAGGGAGACATCATCTCCAGTTACGGACAGCGAAGCTGTGATGGACAGTTGGAAGGACAGTCCCAAGGTCACCGGCTTGGAGGGAAAACATGACACACAGCAAGGGGGTCACTCTAACCCAGAGCTTGTAACTCCCAGTGCGGATTTTTCCGTTACCCCGCAGTCCCTTCTCTTGGTGGATTCTTGGTGTCAGAGGCAGAGGAGGCAGTGCCGGGGGCAGAAGCCCTTTAGCAGTCCCGATGTCATATGACGGGCCCAGCACGTGGCTGGGCAGACCGAGGCGCCCTAGCCAGCCTGTCGGCCTCTCTTGTTGGAAGTGGCCCTCAGCCAGTTTGAACCTGTGCTTTTTGGAGTCTCCATGTGTTCCTTCTGTCCAGCCTGCCTGTGCCTCCCACCTCTGCTCTCCACCTGGCAGCTGCCCGGGGAGCCATGTGGACCCCCTCACTCTCTAGTGGCCCAGCAAATCCCTGCCACATGGGCTTCTGTTTATCACTGGGGCTGGATGGTTTTCACCAGTCAGATGATCATTGGTTAATCTGTCAGTCAGTCAACAAACTGGCACTGTTCTGAGTGATAGAGGTACCTGGGAGAATGAGGCAGAGCTCCTGCTCTCGGGGACATTGCTCCCATCCTCCTGGAGCAGGCAGGGGGCAGTTTAGCACAGGGAGACAGAAAGACTCCTCGGGGCTCCAGGACCTGCCTTGCTCTTTAATGAAGTCCAGCTCCACTGCAGACACACAGAGGTCGCTTTGAGGTGGGCAGTCCTGAGGAGGCTGCTGCCTGGGCTGATCCGCCAGGATGTATGGAAGCAGCAGGAGATGCCCCTCACATGTGCACACACACACCAACTCGAGGATGCTCAAGTGAGGATCTGGGAGGCTCCTGAAGGTCCACCAGTTCTGCCCCTGCTGGTGGGGTGAGGTCATTTAGCCTGGATGTGGTTTCCAAAACTGACTGCTCTGGCCGAACTTTGGGCCACTCCCACACTGATGGGAGGCAATGGGGGAGAGATGAACAACACAGTTGACACCGAGGTGCAAGCCGGGGCGAGTGACCTGGCCCCTCCGTGCCTCCTTTTCCTCTGTGAAGCAGGAACCGCACGCGGCCTGGCTCACAGGAGTGTGTGTGGATTCGAGACGCACAGCTTTCACATGGAGGGCACACTGCAGGGCTCAGTGAGTGACAGCTCGGCCCCCTCCCTGCATCCTTCAAAGGAAGTCCTCTTTCTGCCTTCTGGTTCACACCTCCTTGGCAGCCATCCAGAGTCCCTAGAATGAACTGTCTGGGAGAATGCAGTGACAGAAATACTCGGCCATATCTGGAACTTCCCTGGTGGCAGCTGGTCCTTGATCACGGGTTCCCCCTGGGAGCTGCTGTGTTAGGGCATGAATCAGACCCAGGCTCAACTCTGGCTCTGTCACACCCCTGGTGGTGGCCTCAGGAAAGTCACCCAAACTCTCCCAGCCTCAGTTGCCACCTCTGCCAACTAGGGATGAGAATACCTCCCTCAAAGGCTAGCTGAGAGCATTAAGTAATACAGTGAGGCGTGGCCACCTTTCTTTAAAGAAAGAATGAGAGGATAGAGTGCCAAAGGAGAGGACAGCTGGAAGCCGGGTGGAGGTGGTCGTGCGCTAAGGGAGGC